ATGTACCCTGTACAGATAAGAGCTGGAAACACAGGGAATCAAGGATAGATAAACCCCTCAGGACCAACAATGAGAGTAGCGATACCAGGAGGGGAAGGGGAAGGTGGGGAAAGAAAGGGGGAACCGGTCATAATGATCTACATATAACCAATCCCCTCCCTGTAGGACGGACAACAGAAAAGTGGGTTTAGGGAGACATCGGACAGTGTAAAACATGACAAAATAATAATTTATAAATTATCAAGGGTTCCTAAGGGAGGGGGGTGGGGATAGAAAAAAATGAGCTGATACCAAGGGCTCTAGTAGAAGGAAAATGTTTTGAGAATGATGATGGCGACAAATGTGCATGACACAATGGATGTATGTATGGATTGTGATACGCATTGTATGAGCCCCCAATAAAATGATTTAAAAACAACAACAATAACAAAATACTCTGAAACTACCGTCTTGTTCCCCAGCATTGCATTGGTGTCGGACTGAAAGTGCTTTTATAGATAATACAGGGTTACAGGTCTTTCGTTAGCATAATGAAAAATATTTTGATGATTATTTCAAATTCACCCCATCCTGTTTCTGTGATTTCATATGAACACTTAGTAACAACTCTTAAGGGATTGTCATAACTTTCATGTAATTTAAATTGGATTTTAAACTGGATTTTCCTCACATATGATGTGATTTAAACTGGATTTTCCTCACATATGATGACCTATCCTCATTTATATGGTTTTCCATACACTGTCCACTGATAAGTGTGTCCATCTTCTGTCCTTTCCAAAGTATCAAGCAACATTCCCATAAATTATCAGTTTAACTATAGTAACTCCCTTCACTCTCCTGCTGTAGTCTGGCCCAAATTCTGTGTCCCACAGAAGAAGCAGCTGCCTCCACCACGGAGAGACACTAGGGTCTGTGAGGTCACCACTCCCCTCAGAGGTCCCGCTACTTCTGCACCATCCCTGGCGAGGGTGTCTGGCCGAGGGAGGGAGAATTGTACTGGCACCTAGTAATGACCAGCTCCTCATGGCGGGGGCATCCCTGAAGACCATTCAGCCCGCCAGAGAGGAGGGCAGAAAGGAAGGAGCTGAGATGGTGTGTACAGGTCCCCGATCACTCTCTTTCTTCATGAATGTCCTCGCACAGCTCATCAGGTCTTACGTCATTAGTGTTCAGTTTAGCAAATCTGTACTTGAGATTCAGGTGGGATAGTCTCAAGGTCATATTTTGGACCTTGGACTTGTTTTAATTTTCTTCAGTCTCTACCTGACTTTAAATATGAGCAATTGGTGGTCTGTTCCCACAGTCAGCCCCTAACCTGGATTTAACTTCTATATTGTCTTTACTCAATGATGTGGTCAATTTGATTTCTGTGTAGTCCCTCTGGAGAAGTTCATGTGTATAGTCTTCATTTGTGTTGTTTTGAAAAAGATGTTTGCTATGAAGAAGTTGTTTATCTTTCAAAAATTCCATCAGGTAATCTCCAGCCTCATTTCTGTCACCAAGATCATATTTTCCAATGACTGTTTTTTCCTCTGTTTCCAACTTTTGCATTTCAATCGCTAATAATCATCAATGCATCGTGGTTGCATGTGTGATCAATTTCTGACTTAAGTCGTTGGTAAAATTAGTCAATTTCTCCATTACTATCTTTAGTGGTTGGTTCATAAATTTAAATTATACTTGTCTTAATTGGGTTTTCTTGAATGGGGATAGATATAATCCCATCAAAGACAGCATTGTACTTAAAGATATGTCCTTTTTGGTGATGAATGAGAATGCCAGTTCTCTTGGTTATATCATTCCCAGCATAGTAAACCATATGAGTTTCTGGTCCAAAATGGCTAATACCAGTCAATTTCACATCACTAATACCTAGAATATTAATCTTCACATGTTCCATTTCATTTTTGATGACTTTTGAGTTTTTCTAAATTCATACTTTGTACATTCCAAGTTCTGGTTATGAGTAGAGTTTTGCAGCTGTTTCCTCTCATTTTGGGTCATCCCTCATCAGCAAGCGGAGGTCCGAAAGGCTTGACTCCATTCATGTCATTAAGGTTGACTCTCCTTTGAAAGGGCAGCTCTTTTCGGTCATATTTGGAGTGTCTTCTGACCTGAGGAGCTCGTCTTCTGCACTATCTCTGGCAATGTTCAGCTTCTATTCATTGGGTCTTTTAGTGTCTGACAGTGTTTCGATGCTATTCATAAGGTTTTCTGTTGCTGATTCCTCCAGAGTGGTCAGCCTACACCTTCTTTGTAGTCTGTTCTTAGTCTGGAAGCTCTACTGAAACCTGTTCATTGTGGGTGACTATACTGGTATTTGAAATACCAGACCAGTGATAGAGCTTCTAGCATCTTAGTAACAAAAAAGCTACCACAGCACACCAAGCTGACAGACAAGTGATAGGAACGTCTGACATATGCAGGTTATTTTTTGGTAATCTACTATTTGTGATAGAACTAACATCAGAAACTCGAGTAGACAGGAGGGTTCGAAAACTTTGTGGAAAAATACAATTATAAGATAATGAAAATTTCCCACGAACTTTTTGAGGCCCCCTTGTATGTAACTGAAATTATTTTGCAAGTAGCTACATTATTAAAATAGGATTTCATTATTATTGCAGTATGGCTTTCTTGCTATTTTGCACAAGTTCTATCCTTTTTCTTCTATTTTGTTTTATTTTAAGACAGCATATTCTAGTAAAGAAAAAAACGTCTTAAAGCCTATCTTGGAGGCAAGTCAGTTCTATGCAAAATGAAATACTGCAGAAATGAGACCTGCAGTTTCATCAGGAATTAGCAGAGTGGGTGGTGGGGCAAAGAAAACAAGTTTTACTGTGCATATTTGTTCTAAATAAATTATTTTTCTGCAGACAGATAATGCCAAAAAAACAACGCAGATTAGTACAAACCGCTAGAAGCTGGTGATAGTTTACTACAAGTTACAGATTTTTCATATAAACAATAAGAAAATGAATTTCCAGAAGACTCAGCTACAATCCAATCCTAAATATTTTACCTTTCATTTCCATGCATATTTGCATAATTATGAATATTGATAAAATTAAATTATTAACTTAATGTTTAAATTTTTGTTTTTGCTACTTATGGCTATAAATTATTGCATAATTTAAAATCAGATATTCAACCTTTTGGGAGGGGGTGAAGAATAATATATACATTAAGTTATCTGCATTGTTTATAATATTTTAAGATAATTTCTGTTGACAAATTTTCAAATTTAACATCATTAGAACAGAAAGTCTACTTTTTCCTCTTCTTAATAGATGTTCCTAGATAACCTTAAAGGCATCTTTTAAAGCCGTTTTAGGGATCAGCACAGTCAATACGTAAATAAGTATTTGGGGTGTGAATCAGTGAATTTTTTAAGTTGTTATTATTGCCTTATCTGTGTTTTGGAGTGTGAACATTCAGGAATACTTTGCTGGGGTTGCAAACTTGCAATGCTACTATAATAAATATCCCCTAACATGTTTGCAGTGTCATTATGGTTATAGTGTACTATAGTTGTCAGTTAGGTCAGCGACATCATCGGGATGTGTGTGCAGGCATCCATGGCCTCTTGTGCTCTGCCCCTGCTGGTGGGATGGCTCACACAGAACATGCGCATTTCTTCTGCAAAAAAAAAAGAAGAAACAACACATGTGCTGTGTTTCTTTGCATCCGAGCTTACTAGAGTTCAGAGATTTTATTGAGGGCTGGTCACATAGGCATTAAAATTTTAGACTCCCACAATGGAAGTAGGTTTCAGTGCCCCAGATGGGCAAATCAGCCTTCAATATTTTTCAGATTCAGCCTGTGACCAACCTTGCAAGCAGAAACACATCTCCCTGTCAGCAAACTGAACCTTAATTTCCCATGTGACAAACTAGCCAGCTGAACAGCTGCCTAACATGACTAGTAGGGATACCTAATAAGAAAGCAAACTTTGATAATACCACTGCTTTTTTATTTTAAGCATTTCATGTAATGAGAAATCTCTATATTTCCTAGGTATATTGTTTACAGAAGGAGCTAAAGCTAAAAAATCACAGTCTTCAAGAGACTACAGAGCAAAATGTTATTCTACAGCATACTCTTCAGCAACAACAGCAAATGTTACAACAAGAGACAATTAGGAATGGAGAGCTGGAGGACATTCAAACTAAACTTGAAAAACAGGTATCTTATCATCCAATTTCTTTTGTTTGTATAAAACAGAGCGTTTTATGTCTGAGGAGAGGGCTTTAAAAGTTCCTGGAAAATAGAATTAAAAGACAGGGGAACTTCCCATGAACTTCTTGAAACTCCCTCATATTGTTCATAGATTTTTTTGTTAGCTATAAGAATTCCTATTTAACGTTAGAGATTCATATTTTAAGGTTGGTTCCATATTTCCGTTGGAAATAGATGTAGTTCTATATCCTGTGTAATGCAACCTCCATCTCCAATCTTGTGGCCGTATTTTCATCATTCCATGCGCTTTTGTTGTTAGGTGTTGTCAGGTTGAAACCCTGTATACAACAGAAGGGAAATACTGCCCGGCCTTGGACCACCCACCCTCAGAGTTGTTACATTGGAGCCCATTGTTGGAGCCACTGTGTCAGTGCATCACCTGACGGGCCTTGTTTGGTTGCCCTTCTACTGTATCAAACATGGTGTCTTTTTTCAGGGACTGGTCCTTCCTGATAACGTGTCCAAAGTTCAACACTTTAAAGCAGTGTCCTGTATCAGATTTGTCCGTTGCAATGCATTGCTTGATTTGACATCTGCTTCCATAAGCATCGATTGTGGATCCAAGTATGATGAAATCTTTTGACAACTTCAATGTTTTCTCCATTTATCATGATCTGTTGGTCCAGTTTTGAGGATTTGGATTTTCTTGATATTTAGTATCTTTACAATTCATAATGACAGCTGCAGTCCTTAATCTTCATTAACGAATACTTTAAATCGTCCTTGCTTTCAGCAAGCAGGTTGTGTCATCTGTGTATCACAGGTTGTTAATGAGCCTACCTCTAATCCTGATGGAGCCAAATTCTTCTTCATACAGTCGAGCTTCTCCGATTATGTGCTCAGCATGTAATTGGATAGTATAGTGATAGAACCCTGCCTCTTGATCCATGTACAGGTTTCACATGGGCACAATAAAATATTCTGAACTTCCCATTCTTTTTAGTGCTATCCATCGTTTGTTATCCTCACAATCGAATGCTTTTGATACTCAAGAAAACACAAGTAAACATCTTTGTGGTGTTTACTGCTTTCAGCCAAGATTAGCAATGATATCCCTTGTTCTACATTCTCTTCTGAATCTGACTTGAATTTCTGGCAGTTACTGTTATGAGTCAGGGGAACCACAGGTTGAGAACTCCTGCTCTAAGGAATGAACTGAGACCATTTAAAACACTAAAAGCTCCTTTACACAGGTATCAAAACTGGAACAAGAACTTCAAAAGCAAAGGGAAAGCTCAACCGAAAAATTGAGAAAAGTAGAAGAGAAATGTGAAGCAGCGACACATGAAGCAGATTTAAAAAGGCAAAGAATTCTTGAGCTTACTGGTGCTGCCAGGTAAATGTGAATATTTTTTACCTTTCTGCTTTATTCATAGTTTCTGAGTTTAAGTAAGATAATGTTCATTGAAACATTTGCTTGAGAATTAATTTCTTCAGTCTTTGTTCCCTAGCATTTTGTTTGCACCTCTCTAAACCCCTCCATTTTGACCTTTTTGCAATTTAGTCTAAAACCCCAACTCTGCTGTATAGAAGTGTTGTTGTTTTGTTTTGTTTTGTTTTGTTTTGTTTTGTTTGAGGCAGAGATCTCACCAACCACTCCTGCTAAATAGATTCCAACTCATGGCAACTCTATAGAAGGGGATAGAACTTCTCATTAGAGCTTCTGAGACTAAATATATACAGAAGCAGACAGCTTCATTTTTTCTCCCATAGAAAGACTGGTGTGTTTGAACCACTGAACTGGCAACCGTAAGCCCAATGTGTAACTCATTATGCCACCAGGGCTCCTTAGGCAAAGATCACATCTGAGTTATTTTGAGGTCCACCTCAACAACTAGCACATCTCTCCCCACGTTGCCTTTCATCCGTCAGCAGGGATTAAGATAGAGTCAGGTTAAGATAGGGCCAGTGTGCACAAAGTAACAACTCATAGGATCAAAAACATGTCCCATGTTTAAGATTAAAACTATGGGTCATTAGACCTTCTAGCTTCTATTGATGTGTCTGCCCACCAACCTTTCCATCAGTGTCTGCTTTCACGAAGATTAATTTCATTGTAATTTTATTTTTGCCAAACACCACACTTAGCCCTTCTCCCATCTCATCCCAAGTCTGAAAAATTATCTCACGTCAGCTACTCCCATGAGTTAGCTTAGATCTTATCATTTCTAGTGTCTACATCCTCTAGATAAACTGAATATAGTGGATCTCCTTATCACTTCATTCCCTTTAATACCCCAAATCCAACAATTCTTGATCTCCATCAGGCCTCTATTCCAGCAGTTCTACCATTGTCTCATTCCTCTGATGCACTCTCCTTTCATGACATGCATTCTAATGATTAAAGTCACTGGTTTTCAAGTACTTTTATTCCCTTACTCCCCTCTTCTTGTGTCGAATGCAGCACTCAGTTAAATCTTCCTGAAACGACTGTATGCCTACATTTTTCGATGCTGGGGGAAAATATAACTGCATTGATTAGTCATAAAATTATGTCTTTAAAACGAAAATATAATAATACCCTAATGAAACTGCAGATGTAAGGAGCTCTTGTTTGTCTTTTGCTAAGTGTCTATGGACTACTGTGTTTTTATACTGTGTTTTATCTGCTTTTTATACTTTTCCCCCTAGTCTTTTGCTAACAAGCTGTCATTCAGCTCTTGACATTGTATACCAACCTCTTTCGATTATTCTTTTTAAATTATCCGTTTAAATCTACTATAATTAAGTAGATAATCAAACTAAAATTAATGTACCTGGGATTTTTTTAAACTATACGACAGGAGTACTTTTGTAATAAAGTAGTTCTTAATGTTGTTGGGCCTTGGACCCGTTTGAGGGTCTGATGAAAAGCTAGGGTTTTCCCCTGTCCAGGTACGTCCCTATGCACACTTCAATATGTGTAGTTTCAAGGGCTTTATGGGTTTCCTCAGTTTCACCCATAGGCACCAGATGAGTAACCTTTTGGACTAATCTACCTGTTGTATATTCAGTTTATAAAATTTCAAAGACCAAAAGGGGAAAAAAGAAATCTGTTGAAGCAAAGAGTATCCTCTATCTACAGTTGAGGATGACATTAGCGATTGTTTAATTAGTTGGCCAACAAATGGGCATAAAGGTACCTTTTGATTTATTTATAGATAGAGAAGCTTCCATATGGAAATCAGCTCATGGTTGGCCTGACCTGATCACTATTAATAAAGAATTGTATTTTTCCAGACATTTTTCCCAACCGTCTAGCTTCTTCATCTGTATTCAGGGAAGTTGCACCAGTCTATATCTCTAGACTCTTTTAATGCCAAAAATAATAAATAAATAACATTAATAATGAATCTCAGACTAAAAATTACTGACTTGACTCTCCTGTGATGCTGTGACTAGTTTTTGATAAAATTTTGACTACCTTGAGTTATTTTTGTCCTTTTGATTATCTGTGTTGCAGATAGCATGTTATAAATGAATAAGACACACCTATCCATGGATATTCTCAATCCATACAAAGCTTTATAAAGGTGAAATGTAAATAGATTGAAAAGAATGCTAGCCTTATTAAATATTACTAGTTAGTACAGAGTTGTTTATTGTTAACAGGTGCAGAATTAGTCTTTCAGTTGAGGCATTTTAAAAAAAAAACAACAGGTTATTTAAGATTCTGACTGGATTTTTGCTCGTGATAATTGTCCTTACACAAATTTCCAAAATAATCTTTTATCTGTATCATTTTTTCAAATTAGGCAAGTAAAACTTGAGATGGATCAGTACAAAGAAGAGCTGACCAGAATGGAAAAGGAAATGATGCACCTAAAACGAGATGGTGAAAACAAAGCAATGCATCTTTCTCAATTAGATATGATCTTAGAACAGACAAAGACAGAGCTTGATAAGAAAACAAATGCTGGTGAGCAACTGGTTAGCTGCCTGCTTGTGTTTTAAGTGAGAATTTGGGATGGTGGAGCTAGAAGGAACAATGAGTAGTTAGTAATTATTTTTCCAGCGAGTCTTCAGTATATTATTTACAAAGTTTTAAATAATGAGGTGTTTTATGTATACATCTACTCTTCACCTATCAACTATCTCATAATCCAACATTTTGCATTTATAACAACTCAAAAATTCTCAGATTGCACCTCTCTTGGATAGTCTGGGCCCCTTACAGAGCCATAGCCAGCCTGGGGCACCCTCAGTTGGCCACCCGGAATGATATACTGTAGGCTTTAGTGACAACTGGCTCACACCAGGGATGGCAGCTGAGCGGCCACTGGTCGCTTTCTCCTATTCTTCCGAGACATCTCAGTCCAGCCACAGAGGCTACAGGGTAATGACGGGACAACTCGAAATCATGAGCAAGCAGAAGAGGTCAGGCAAGAGCCCAAAGGTGCGGGGAGTTGGGGCGGGGGGACTGGAGGGAGATGGGAAGAGGGTCGTATAGGAATTAGAGGACTTGGGCAGACAGGATTGGTGGGAGGGGGGCATACCCAAGGAAGGTGGCAATAAGTAGTGTAGTAGGTAGCATCTGACTACCACCATCCATAAACCCTGTGGGCTCTATGGTGGAGGCAAGGAGGGGGCCCAGTACAGTGGATGCAATACCCATACTAAAGATGGGGTATAATGACTTGCATAATTGACTTTTATTGTGCTGATTTTTAATAACTGGGTCTTAGAAACATCTATTTTGATAAGTGAGGAGTGGGTGTAGTTATAAAATTACTCTTTCTCTTCACAGTGAAGGAGTTAGAAAAGTTACATCACCACACTGAAACTGAACTAACAGAAGCCTCGCAGAAACGAGAAACACTAGAAAATGAGCTGCAAAATGCTCATGGAGAATTAAAAAGTACTTTACGACAACTGCAAGAATTGAGAGATGTACTTCAGAAGGCTCAATTATCGCTGGAAGAAAAATACAATACTATAAAAGATCTGACAGCTGAACTTAGGTGAGCTAAATAGAAAGGCTATCACAATTACTGGTTTCCTCTTTACTATATAGGTGATACAAAACTAGAAAAATATGAATGAGAAAAAACTTATCATATTCTAATTGTGTGTTTCAATTAAAACTTGTTATTTTACTTCCTAATTAGCCCGTTCCATACCCCATCTAACTCTGTTGCTGCTGGTGACTACTGATACTTGCGTCCTTGGACTTTAGACCATTTGACACTGACCCTTTTTTTGACATTGACCCAATTTTACTTCTAAACTATACTTCTGACATCAGAGCACTGGTGGTATGTGCGATCAGCAAGGTCAGCAATTCAAAAACACCAAACATTCTGTGGGAGAAAGACTTTATACAGTTCTACTCTGTCCGATAAGGTTGCTTTATTTTTTTGTTTTTAATCATTTTATTTGGGGCTCGTACAACTCTTATCAAAATCCATATATACATCAGTTATGTAAAGCACATTTGTACATTCATTGTCCTCAATATTCTCAAACCATTTGCTCTCCACTTAAGCCCCTGGCATCAGCTCCTCATATTTTTCTCCTCCCTCTCCACTTCACCCCCCGCCATGAACCCTTGATAATTTATAAATTATTATTTTGTCATATCTTACACTGTCCAACATCTCCCTTCACCCACTTCTGTTGTCTGTCCCTCAGGGAGGAGGTTATATGTAGATCCTTGTAATCGGTTCCCCCTTTCTCCCCCACCCTCACAGTATCACCACTCTCACCACTGGATTCCCTGTGTTTCTAGTTCCTATCTGTACATCTTCTGGTCTAGCCAAATTTGTAAGGTAGAATTGGGATCATGATAGTGGTGGGGGGAAAGGCGAGCATTTAGGAACTAGAGGAAAGTTGTATGTTTCATCATTGCTACACTGCACCCTGACTGGCTTGTCTCCTCCCCACAACCCTTCTGTAAGGGGATGCCTAATTGCCTACAGATGGGTTTTGGGTCTCCACTCCGCACTCCCCCTTATTCACAATGATAGGATTTTTTGTTCTGATGATACCTGATCCTGATCCCTTCAACACCTCGTGATCGCACAAGCTGATGTGCGTCTTCCATGTGGGCTTTGTTGCTTCTCAGCTAGATGGCCGCTTGTTTACCTTCAAGCCTTTAAGACCCCAGACACTATATCTTTTGATAGCCAGGCACCATCAGCTTTCTTCACCACATTTGCTTATGCACCCATTTGTCTTCAGCGATCGAGTTGGGAAGGTGAGCATCATGAAATGCCAGTTTAATAGAAGAAATATTCTTGCATTGAGGGAGTACTTGTGGAGGCCCAATGTCCATCTGCTAGATAAGGTAACTCCAAGTTGGCATGGACTTGATGGCAGTGAGTGAGTTTATTCTGAAATCCATTATTTCAAGCCATCAATACAATAAATACTCTATTGCTTTAGATTCCTAATTGGATACATTTGTGTCTAATCTAAAATTCCCTCACCATGGAAACCAGTGTTAAAACAAATCAGATCCTATCATTTTCCTATTTCAACCTAAAGCATTGAGAATAAAATCTAAGCTCCTTATCCTAGCAGCATAAAAACCCTCCTGCCTTCCTCTCTCTATTTTTGAGCACTTCTCTTATTTTTCCATAAACTTATGAAGTTTGTTCCTATTTTAGGTCCTTAGACATGTGTGTTTCTTCTTGGAATAATGGTGGGTATGACCAGTTTCTTCTTGTCCTTCTCATTACTTCATAGGGGCTTTCCCTAATTACATAATAAATCTCTAATCACCCTAGCCAAAGCTCTAATATGAAAACTCACTGCCATCCAGTCGATTCCAACTCAGCCACCCTGTAGGGTAGAGCCACCTCTGATGGTTTCCAAGACTATAACTCTTTCCAGAGCAGAAAGCCTCTTCTTTGCTCTAATATGAGGAGGGCTTTAAAAAACTTAATGGAAAAATTCCGTTTTCTTTCAAGTCAATTTTTCCAGGAATTTCTTGACGTCCCCTCATATAGCACTTAGTATGATAGTTTTTCTGTTTATTTTATTATTTTATGTTAGCTCTCAATACTTTATAAAAAATCATTTTGAGTAAAAGCTCCATGTGAATTACAGTGGTCATTTACTAAGCTGCGGATATCACAGATACCAACCATGAGATAAATGCCTTATTCAGTCATAATTAAAGTTGCACAACTTTCAAATAACTTCTTGGTTTACAGGTGAAAAGTGTGGATTTTTTTTTCATTTATATAATCTTGTGGCTGTAGGAGTACTTTATCATTTACCTTAAATAATTCTACTCTAGGGAGGTTTGAATTACTATATTTTAATTTTTTAATTATAAAATAATTATATTGATAATGATTTTCTTTAGACATCATTCCTTTAATTTGAGACCTCTTAATTTTTTTGTATTCATGAGCTCTTTTAGTAGGTAGGAAAGCTTGACTTTTATTTAAAATTGTTTATTTATAATCTGTTTGCTTTCATTTTTTTTCCTTTGCTAAATTGCAGAGATTGCAGGATGGATATTGAAGACAAAAAGCAAGAACTCCTTGAAATGGATCAGGCACTTAAGGAGAGAAATTGGGAGCTAAAGCAAAGAGCAGCTCAGGTTGGTTATCCTAATTATATGTATCCTAATGCAATTTCCTGTTGTTACACAATTATACAGAGTTTCAAAAGTCATTAACTTTTGGTAAAGTAGGCATTTTTAATAGCACATTTGCTTTCTCTATACATATAATTAAAAACATTTCTTTTTACTGCAAGTAGATTGTTGAGAATGAGAATGAGGATTTTTGAGAATTGTAGTATCTGAGTCTTTTGATCTCACACTACTGCATATCAAGAGAAACTACCAAGAAATGGAGTCTGATTCATTTACTTGTCATTTATAAACATAATCTTCTCTTTTCTGTAGGTTTCTATAATACACATGGGATCATGATCCAGTATTGCTAAACTATGGCTATTTTTCCCATTCTTTAGAATGAAATATATGATATGAATGTTTGTTATATCAACCTGACATAATTCCAAAACACTTTGAATTAACTACATTCCAAACACAATTTTCCAAATCAGAATAGAACTGCACAGCATGTAATGTTACTTTTGTATTTAGGTTACACATTTGGATATGACTATCCGTGAGCATAGAGGAGAAATGGAACAAAAAATAATTAAATTAGAGGGTACTCTGGAGAAATCAGAATTGGAACTTAAAGAATGCAACAAACAGGTGAATTATAAAAATGTTACCCATTTTAAATATCCACTATTCAAGAAATACGATTTTAAAATAGTATAATAACATTACAGACTTTATATTTTGTGTATGGTACTTTATATTTTTCTCTTAATGTTGTTTTGAATATGGTTTATCTTCTTTTAGTGTCCACATATTCATTGTAATATGTACATATATATCTGAATATGATTTGCAAGCAATTCTGCTCACAGTGATCACCTCTGAGGTGGGAACATAATGGAAAGGGGATTTTCTTTTTACTGACAGTACTTCAAAGTACTAAGGATGTATAAAATTATTTGTACAATCATGTAACATTCGGTGTGTGTTTTGTTGTTGTTGTGTGCCTTTGAATCATTTCCAACTCATCCTCACCCTATAAAGAGAGAGTACAACTGTCCTGTAGGGTTTCGTAGGCTATAACCTTTATGGGAACAGGTCACCAGGTCATTTCTCCTACAGAACAACTGGTCGGATCAACTCCTATCTTTAGGTTAGCAGTTGTTTAACCGTTACACTACCAGGGCTCCTTCCTTCATTGTTAAGATAGACTCTAATTTTCTCTGTTTATACAAGTGTCATTGAGACTTTCATCTCGTTTAGTGTGTCTCGTTTAGTGCTCATGTAAGCATCTCATTAGGTACGAAAATTCTTAAGTTTATTTCTAAATTATGGGTTATCTTTAAAGCACAATTTTTATATTTTGCATATTTTGGGTGTGAATGTTTAAAGTTTGACTTACTTGGAAGACAGCTGTGATTAGAGAGTTGTCTTTCCTTAGTAACCTTAATCCTATTCATCTGTTTAAAATTCAGATAGAGAATCTGAATGAAAAATTACAAAATGCCAAAGACCAGCTTCGAGAAAGAGAGTTTATGATGTTACAAAATGAACAAGAGATAAGTCAACTGAAAAAAGAAGCTGAAAGAACACAGCAAAAAATGAAAGAAATGGAAAGCGTAAGCAAATTATATAAGTAGTATTCTCAGAAGAGTAAACTAATCATTAGGGCCTAAATTGGTTCATTTTAGTATCCAGAAACCATGCCCTACGTATTTTAAAGCTATTTATTTATACTGGGCCTTGTAAAATAATTATAGTCTGCTGGTTTCAATTTGACAAGGCAATGTCTTATCTATCTTTATATTCTTCACAGGTCCTAGCATGGTATTGGTCACATAGATAATCCACAATATATGCTCCTCTGGTCGACACATTCTTTGAGAACCTACTACATGATAGATCTGAAGAAACTAATATGATACAATTGTTTATCTTTAAAGAATCCCATTAATGTACAGATGATATTGTACATTATTTAGGCCAGGTGTGTAACCGAGTTACCAGAAGATGCTTGATGAGTTCATACCATCAGATTTCATATGTATTGACTAGTGGATTCATTCCGTTTATTTGCCTTTTTTAAAAAATGAATTTGCTTCTGAGGGCTACTTCTGGCTACAACTGTTTCTTGTTTTTAAACACTGTATCAACTTTAATACTTTAAATCTTTATTGAATGACTCTCCATCTCCACTACTCGGATTTAAGTTCCATATGGACAGCCACTTTGTGTCCCTTGTTCATTGTTGTGTCCTTAGCACCTATGGATCAGTATACATATCACATAGTAAACATCAATAAAGATTTGTTGAATTGTATATATAAATCAAACAAACTCTGAAAGCAAATTTGGACCCCAGAAGGAAAAATGATGACTAGCCCAATCATTTTGGGCTCCCTAGTAATAGCTAAAAATATTTATGCTCGTATAAAACAGGCTTCAAAAAGTTTGTTAAAAAAGTCCATTAAATTTTACTTTACTTTTCCACAAACATTTTGAAACCCCCTCATATAATATACTTGGATGCTGGAACCCTGTTTCAATAATCAAGGCCCTAGTAATTAATGCTCATTTCTCTCACTCTTGTCAACTCTGCAATCACGTGCCACAACCTGTGCACATTAGTCCACGGAGACTAAGATCACCCACTTGTGATGCCAAAGTGTGTGGTAGATAACAAGTTCCACCCCTCATGCTAGTTGTATCCTATCGAACGCTTAGCTTCAGTGTAGACCACAGCTGCTCACTTAGCCTTTTATTTTCTCCTCTGTGGTCATCTGGAGCTAGGTCAAGAGTCCACATGACTCCTACTTCAGACCAGCTGGCTCCCCTACTACTTTTGGGTTTAATAATTTGCTGGAATGACTCACAGAATTCACTTACTGCAGATTTGTTAAAACCAGAAAGGATACAAATGAAGAAATGCATAGGGTGAGATCTAGAAGGAATCAAGCAGTTTACATGTCCTAATGAAGGATAGTCTCTTTCTTGATCACCAACTAGGAAGCTCTTCTGAGCTCTTAGCAGTCTTTTCACATGGCCCTGATAGATTATGTTGTCTAGTGAGGCTTAGTTAGCATAGTTACCTCAGGTGGTCCCTTTTGTTCTGGTTAGACCCCATCCATTAACCTCAAGTGTTGGTATAACTTAAAAGAATCAGCTACAAGGCTAAATGGTTTTCTGACAGGTGATTCCACACCTAACCACCTGTGCTCTCCCAGATGATTTAGAATAACTAGTGTATTCTTCACTGATAGATTTTTTTTTCTTCTAGAGAAAAAGTAAAAGGATTAGCAGCCCCTTTGACGTATTTTGCTTAGCATAGGATAAGGTCATGCTCTTAACCTGGCTGTGTAAATTATTGGTGGGTTTCAACAACCCTTGCCAATATATTCTTCATTTTTGACATAGATGATCACATGCTAACTTCTTTTTTCATCTTAGATTATTATGTATCCTGTCATTAATGTTACATTAAATGAAAAAGGTTATACAACAATCAGCATGCATATGTTGAAATAATATAAAACGATGATTAAGTTTCCAATTGATAATAGTGCTTCTGTCATTTTTTCCTCACAAAAACACAAGACTTTTTGAATATCAGTTTTACAGTGGACCATAGTTCATGGTATCATAAATTTGATAGGAATTAAATTTGGAGGAGAAATTCACTTACTAAAAGAGAAATCAGGATCAACAGAGGTATTGTGTGCTAAAACGTATAACTGTCTTGTGCTTTTTTTCTTCTAATCATTTTATTGGGGGCTCGTACAACTCTGATCACAATCCATCCATTGTGTCAAACACATTTGTACATTTGTTGCCCTCATCATTCTCAAAACATTTGCTTTCTACTTGAGCCCTTGGTATCAGCTCCTCATTTTCCCCCTCCCTCCCCGCTCCCCTCTCCCTCATGAACCCTTGATAATTTATCAGTTATTACTATTTTGTCATATCTTACAACAAATTTTTGTTTTAATGTCTTGTGGCTTTCATGTTTAGGTGATGAAAGAGCAGGAACAGTACATTGCAACTCAGTACAAGGAGACTGTGGACTTGGGGCGAGAGCTGAGCATAACCCAGGAGCAGTTGCAGAACTCTCACTCAGAAGTGGTGGAGGCTCGTCGACAGCAAGTACAGTCTCAGAGAGAAGTAGAGAGGCTGTCAAATGAATTGGAGGAAATACAGCAACTCTCTAGGGAGAAAGTAATTACCTATTCGAAATAATTTTGTTTAGCTATGACTAGTTTTAGCATTTACTTTTTTGAACTGTAGAATACAGTTCTAACAAAAATGAACTGTGCAGTATTTGGCCTAATTTTGTAATGTAATTAGGAAGTCTCTCAGAATTGATTTTTGGCCAAACCAACTTGTTTTTAATAAATTGATTTTTAAAGCATTTTTAGATTTTTTCAGTAAGTTTAAACTGTCACTTGAAATAAAAATAGTTAATTTTTCCAGTAAAAGTTTGGTTTTTTTAAAAACATTTTACTAGGGGCTCATACAACTGTTACGCAATCCATACACACATCAATTGTGTAAAGCACGTTTGTACATCATTCTCAAAACATTTTCTCTCCACTTAAACCCTCGACATTAGGTCCTCATTTTTCCCCTCCCTCCCCGCTCCCAAAAGTTTGGTTTTTTAACCTAAGTAAAAATTTTTGTTTGTAAGCAACTTTAAATTAAAAAAACCTGTGATCTAAGTAATGTATATGAAACCTGTAGCCTAGAACCATTGGGGAAGTAAATGCTTTTAAAAAGCAAGAACATAAATAATTTTATTTCTCCAATATTTGGTTAAAGTTAACAACTGGGCTTAACAATATTTAGGTTCTTTATTTACGCTCTAGGCAAACTTTCTTATGGGGCCTTAGAGACATTCCAATGCATTTTATGGTCTCTATTACCTGTTGTGGTACCAATTCAGCATAGGAATTGAGTTAAAGTATTTTCACCTTTAATTTTGATTAACTTATGTAGCTGCAGTAGCCCTGGTAGCGTGGTAGTTACACATTGAGCTATAATCCTCAAAGTCAGCAATTTGAAACCACCAGCTTCTCCTTGGGAGAAAGATGGGGCTGTCTACTCCCAGAAATAGTCTCAGAACCCCACAGGGCAGTTCTGCCCTGTCTTACAGTCACTGTGAATCAGCATCCACTCTATGGCAGTGATTTGTGCTGTGTGCTAGTATCATTTCTTTATGGTTAACCCTAAGTTCCCAAACTTATTTGACCTGCCACCCTCTTTTCGGAGAAAAATTTTCTTAGTGCCTGGCAATTAAAAACGTTTGTATTCTAGTCCATAATCCACAATAAAGTATAAATGTCTGCTTTTGCAGCTACTTTGGAGCATTTCAGTGTCTTCCAGGAGGTTATCACCCACTTTGGAAAACACCGGGTTCAACTAAAAGAGGGTATAGGGAATTTTTATTAGAGATAGGCTGAATACTAGGAAAATGAAAGCTACCAACTTTTATTTGTGCCCTTATCAGTAGTATCAAGTTCATCTGATAAATGAACTTTTTAAGTGAGTCAGTACAAAATTATTAAAATTGAATAAATTTTGAAAATATACTTTAACCTCAAACTCTTACTATGCATTCGTATGTAAATTTTATGTATATGTGTCCTTTCATTAGAATTTTCCCTACTCATAGATGGAATAACCATACTTATTTCATCAACTATAATTTCAATTTTTGTTTTCTTTAAAATGGAGGGAGAATGAAAAGACATTTGTGAACCAGCAGTAGATATGTTATATTTTTTATGAAGTTTCCAAAAACATTGAATCCCAAAAACGTTTTACAACTCCCTGACTACTTCTAATTGAGTAGTTATTTTTGTGACTTACTGTGATTGAACTATTCTAAATCATGTAACTTCATTTTCACATAAAAGTAGCTGTCTTCTTGCATGCATATTTCAGCAGTGTATATAATAAATAAGTTACATAATTACAAGCATAACGCATAAATTGGTTTGGATAAAAACGCAGCTGATTATTGAGACGCCAATGACATATTGGTGAGCAGAAATGCACAGTCATAACTAGGAATAGAGGGTTATCTGACAAAATTAACTCGTAATACATTATAATGGCAAGTGATATGCTAATGTTCTCTCATTTAGGAAGCGCTTAAAGTGTTTAGATTTTAGAGTATACCTTTTAATAAGTTAAAATTATATGTGTTATATGTAATATAAATGGTTAAGCTATTTCTATTATGCACAAGACTGGCTTAGCTTTAATAACTAAAAAAACAAGTTACATAGCTCTTACTCAATATGTCATTTTCAGGAAGTTCATGGAAACCACTTAGCTGAAGAATTAGGGGCTTCTCAAGTACGTGAAGCTCAGTTAGAAGCAAGAATGCAAGCAGAAATCAAGAAATTGTCAGCAGAAGTAGAATCTCTAAAAGAAGCTTATCATCGTGAGGTAAAAAAAAAAAAGTAAAACGTTCCATTAGTCCACTCCCCACCCCTACTAACGTGGGTTGACTTATCTGGATAAAAATATAAAGTATTTCTGATAACTTTATCTAGCTTAAGTACATTTAGATTCAGATTTATTTGAAAACATTCTGTCTACCAAATAAAACACATTAACCTGTTGAATGTAGTAATTAGGCCAAGAGATTATAATCCTTAGTGTTTAGAGATAAATTTCAATGCTGTCAGACTCAGCATAATTAATTGCTATTAAGTACTCAATTTGGTAGCCATCAGTAATAGTTAATCTGTCTCAGATTTTTTCCATAATTCTTTTATAATTATCCATTTTTTAACTAGTAGTTTTGTAAGCCACCCAAAATTTTCAACAGATGTATATAAAATAACATTTAAAAAATTGTTCTAGTATTAATAGGTATCAATCTTTTGCATGTATAATATTAAATATATGATTCTTCCCCTTTTCGACAGTTGACAAAGATTAATTTTAAAAGTGTGCATACATATAGTATATGTGAATATGAGAGAGAAAAAAAGCGATTGAAAGTTGGAAAATGAAATCAACAATGTTTATTAGTATCTCTTAAGATACTGCCAGTAAAGTTACTTAGTAATAATTACAAAACTCTTTATATTTCTGGATGAAAAATTTTTTAATGTTTTTATTGTGAAAATTTTAAACATTTAAAAGTAGAGAAAACACTATAAGCTTTTGTATTTAGTATTAAACTTTAGTAATGGTTGATTTGATTTTATCGATGACATTGGGAATGCTAAAAAGGAATACTTTTAAGAAGGATTAGCAGTACTATTAATAATGATACCAGGATACCTAAGAACCCAGATCATCCTATACAAACCTGGGAGTTAAAGCACAATATCTTTAACCTTATCCACTTTCCTTATATCTCTACCCATTTCCACATATTATTTTTAAGTAAATCTCAGATGTACATATTTTACCTGTGAACTTTCAGTAAGTATCTCTAAAAGATAAGGGTGAATTACAATACTTTGGATCTTGCGGATTGCAGCCCAATGCATAAATATGACAATACCAAGGCTCCTACAATACCATTAATCATACCTAAAAAATTGGCAGTGATATATCATCAATATATAATAGTTAATTGGTTTTCCTCAATAAATCTTTATTTGTTCATATCAGGATCATGAACACAATTGTATTTGGCTAGCTGTTCTTAAGTAAATTTAAGACAATAGTTTCCTTCTCCCCTTTTTTTCTCTTGAATTTTATTTGGTAAAATATTAAATGTTTTTAAGTATAAATAGTTACTTTAAGACAAGTAAGTAGAGGGGGGAAGCCGTAGGGTGTTACTGAAACCAACCTCTTACTTTCTTTGCTTTTCCTTTTCTAAATTCGGGCCTATACAGATGGTTTCGCATCAGGAGAACCATGCAAAATGGAAGATGTCTGCAGACTCTCAAAAAACTTCTGTTCAGCAATTAAATGAACAATTAGAGAAGGCAAAATTAGAACTGGAAGATGCTCAAGATACTGTAAGCAATTTACATCAACAAGTTCAAGACAGGAATGAAGTGATTGAAGCTGCAAATGAAGCATTACTTATTAAAGTAAGTCAGTATCCTTGAGTATGTGAAGCAAATATGTGAAAAAGTAAATTATGAGTTGCTCTTCCTGTCTGTATTGTTTGTTTGTATAGGATAATAAAAGCACCTAATTTAGAAGACATTGTATATAGGAATTATTAAGATGCTATACATTATATTACCACAGGAGAAATAATCTATAAAAGCACAGATACCAACTCATCAACTCAGAATGTTAACTTTAAAATCACATGCACTGCCATCAAGCCATAGCGACCCTACATAGGGTTTCTAAGGCTAGAAATATCTAGGGGAGCAAATACCTCAACTTTCTCTTGTAGAGCAGCTCCACTACAGCTCCCAGAATGTTTACTTTAGGCAGTTTTTTATTTGATATTCCTAAAAATAGAAGCAGTTTTCAAAATCAATAAAGAGTCTTTAAAAATCATGAAGCAGAAATTATAAGATTATATTAAAATTTCTTACTAGGTTTGAGTATATGGATCAATTTTTATGTATCCCGTTACTACTTTTATTCATTCCTATGTATCAGGACAGTTTTCTGTTGAATTTTAAATTAATATTGATTCAGAGAGATTAAAAATGTAAGATTAGTTCCAAAACTGCCAGTATAGATAATTAAATTGTTAGCTAAGAACTTAGTAAAAAATAAATCAACTTATTGGTAATTGAGAAGCAATCATTGATTTTATAGCTTATCAGAATTGATGAAAAGAAAAAATTAATAATATCTCAAACATTTCTAGTTACTCAACTGAACTCTTAAAATTTTAAAAAATAAAGTTGATATTCACCGTATTAGAGCAAAGACAAATAGACATTCTAAAATTCTTTTAAGTTGGACATTCTATTTATGCTTTTACTTAAGTATTAATATACCTAATGTTCTGAGGTTTTACGATGTTTGTACGAAATTATAACTCTTCATTCTAAAGAACTTATCCTAAAAACTTAGACCGTTGACACCAAAGCTGTTTAAACTTTTCTAAAAGTTAGAGAAGGAAGGAGTGTACTCCCTAATTCATTTATAAAGCAAACATAACCCTGATGCACAAACTAGATGAAGATACCACAGGAAAAGAAAGCTATAGCCCAATATGTTATGAATTTCGATGCAAAACTCTTCAACAAAAAACTTGTAAACAAAATCCAACAGGATACTGAGTCATATACCATGCTAACCACAGTCAGCAGTTCAAAACCAGCAGCCGTTACAGAGGAGAACGATGACACTTTCTACTCCTGCAAATGGTACAGTCTCGAAAACCCAAAGGCATAGTTCTACTCTGTCCTATGGGTTCACCCTAAGTCAGAGTTGGCTCAATGGCAGTGTTTTGTTTTATTAACCGTAACCAAGTGGAATTTATTCTAGGAATGCAGGTATGGTTCAACATTAGAAAATCAATCAATATAATACACCATTTAAATAGAACAAACAAAAAGACCCACATAAACATCTCTATGGATACACATAAAAAAATTGATAAAATCCAATAATCATTGGATCATCAAGAAGATTGGAATAGAAGGGAAATTCCTCAGTATGATTTAGGGCATATATATGATAAGTCAACATTATACTTACTGGAGAAAAACTGGGAGATTTCCACTTAAAATCAGGCAGAAGCCAAGTTTGCTTGCTCTGTTCAATATTAGAAGTTCTAGTAAGAGCAATAAGACAAAGAAAGTGTATCCATATTGGAAAAAAAAGAGAGTTATTTTTATTGGTGGATTTTGTGATTCTACATATAGAAAATACAAAAGAGCCCCTAAGAAAACTTTTAAAGCTAATAGAGGAATTTAGCAAAGTTGCAGGGTATGAGGTCAATAGTTGGATTTTTGTACACTAGCAATGGCAAAGAAGAATGAAAATTAAGGAAGCAGTTCTATTTACAGTAGCATATGAAAGAATAAAATACCTAGGAATAAATCCAACAAAGGGTGTGAAGAAATTATACAATGAAAACTATAAGTTACTACTGAAAGAGTTACTACTTAAATAAATGAAATTTCTTTTATGTTCATGGATCGGAAGCCTTTTTATTATTAAGATGTCAACTCAAGAATGCATGTTGACTTTGGTGGGCTGGTTTTACTTTTCTTCAGTTTGAACTTGAAGTTTCATATAAGCAATTGATGATCTGTTCTTCAATCAACCCCAGGCCATGTTATCACTGATGCTATTTATATTCCATCTGGTGAGGATTCCTTTGTATTCCATTGAGTGATTGTTGGACTACTAACTGCAGGGTCTGCAGTTAAGACTACCAGCTGTCCCATGGGAGTAACTTGAGGCTGTCTTCTCCCAAAAGATACACAGCCTCAGAAACCCTATGTAAGGTCAATGTGAATCAGGATTGACTCAATTGATTTTTTTTAGTTTAATAAGGATAGGGCAACTAGAAAGAAATTCAATAAAAACAGAAGAACTAAGCAACACAATCAACTTGATCTCAAAGATGCATATAAACATTCTATCCAGCCACAACACAATATATATTCTTTTTCAGCACAACTGGAACTTTCTCCAGAATAGAACATATGTTAGGTAACAAAGGAAGCATCAATAAGTTTTAAAACATGGCAGTATTACAAAGCATCTTTTTAGACCATAGCACTAAATTTAGAAATCAATGGTAAGAAGATCAAGGGGAAAAAACCAAATACATGGAAATTGAATACACTCTGCATAAGAACTAGAAGAAATGAACTTTAAAATTCCTTCAATCAAACAAAAATGAAAACATAACGTACCCAAACTTTTGGGACATAGAAAAAGCAATGCTCACCAAGCAATTTATAACAAAGTACGCAAGAAAGAAGAACCAAAATCAACACTTTAAACCAGGGGTCCTCACACTTTTTAAACAGGGGCCAGTTCACTGTCCCTCAGACCGGTTCAAACTATGAACAAATTCCTATGCATACTGCACATCTTATTTTGAAGTAAAAAAACAAACGGGGCAAAAACACCCAGTGGGCCGGATAAATGTCCTCGGTGGGCCGCATGTGGCCCACGGGCTGTAGTTTGAGGACACCTGCTTTAAACCATCATTGCTGACAGGGAAAAAACATCAAGATAAGTCTATGGCCACTATAAGAAAAGAAATATTAAAGATTAAAACAAATAAGTGAAACAAGAACAATAGAAAAGAATCAACAAGAGAAGAAGTTGGTTCTTTGAAAGGATTAACAAAATTCACAAACAACTTGGGGCCGGCCCTAATCCCAACTACCTGGATTACCCCCTCCCCCTCCCCCTCAGAAGAATGCACTTCAGAGGACAGCACTACAGCACGAGGGACATGTCTGATCAGAGCACACAGGAGCAAACGAAGAGGAAAAGAGAGATTGTGGAACACATCCTGGCCCACCAAGCCTCGAGTACGATATTTCTGCTCAGAACAGCCAGTGTACAGAGAGGACCATAGGGCCAGCCCAACCAGGAGACACAGACATGATGTACCTCGCTGACCTATAGCACTACCGGAGACAACACTGGAGACACAGTGCGGGTGTGCAATAGAACAGCAAGGGAAGCAAAACAATGAAGTCCCCAGGGACTACCAAAAATAGACTTTGAGAGCCAGGGCATGGCACCCCATCAAACTTGACTGGAAAACACCCGTAAAGGTCAACAGAGGGACCACGGAACTATTTATCAGCTTTTCTTTTTTTGTCGTTGGGACATTATTTTTGTTGGTTTGTTTTGTTTTGCTCTATCTTGATTTTGTGCTTGTTATTCTCTACATTTCTATCTAGATAAGATAGGCAGGATAAACCATCCAGAGGAGAAAACAACAGGACCATCGGTCCTGGGTGGACACGGGAGAAGGGGAGGTGGGGGAATGGAAGGGGAGTGTCAACCAACCCAGGGACAAGGGAAAAACAAGTGATCTGAAATCGATGGTGAGGGTATAGGATGCCTGGGGGGTCTTGATAAAGGGCAGTGTTGTCGAGAGGAATTACTGAAACCTGAATGAAGGCCGAACATGATAGTGGGACAAGAGGAAAGTAAAAGGGAATAGAGGAAAGAACTAGAAGATAAAAGACATTTATAGAGGTCTAAATAAGCATGTACACATATATAGGTAAACAGATATATGTACATATATTTATATGTTAAGTATCAAGGTAGCAGACGGACATTGGGCCTCTACCCAAGTACTCCCTCAATGCAAGAACACTTCGTTCTAATAATACGGCATTCTGTGATGCTCACCTTCCTGACATGATCGCTGAAGACAAAATGTGTGCATAAGCAAATGTGAAGAAAGCTGATGGTGCTTGGCTATCAAAAGATATAGCATCTGGGGTCTTAAAGGCTTGAAGATAAACAAGCAGCCATCTAACTGAGAAGCAACAAAGCCCACATGGAAGAAGCACACCAGCCTGT